TTTGTATTTTTTAAAAAAGATTTCTATTCCTTGAATGTAAAATGACTACCTAAGTTTTTTTTTGGTGTAAACTCATTAAATTCAAAGAGGAAAAAAAAAAAAAAAAAAGAAAAGAAAAGGTTGACAAACAGAATGAAACATTCTTTGAAGACAACAATCTGTGGCAGGAGAAGAGAGAGTAAAACTGTTTAATGGAGGATTTCTGTTAAGTTCCGTGGAATAGGTTCCAACTCATAGGGACCCTATAAAGAATTTCCAAGGAGCACCTGGTGTGTTTAAAATAATGGCCTTGTGATTCAAAGTACAGTGCTGATCCTACAGCGCCACACCAGGAAGGTTGTTGTTGTTGTGTTGTTAGGTACCTATGAGTCGGTACCAGCTTATAGCAATCCTATGCGCAACAGAATGAAACACTGCCTGGTCATGCACCAACCACTCAATGTTTGCTACACTTGAGCCTGTTTCTGCTGCCACTGTGTCAATCCATTTCATTGGGTGTCTTCCTCTTCTTTGCCGATCATTTAATTTACCAAGCATGATGTCCTTCTCCAGGGATTGGCTCTTCCTGATAATATGTCGAAAGTAGGACAGACAAATTCTGGCCATCCTGACTTCTAAGGAGCATTCTATCTGTACTTCTTCCAACATAGATTTACTGGTTCTTTTGCCAGGCCATGCTTCTTTCAATATTCTTCTCCAACACCACAACTCAAATACATCAATTCATCTGCAGTCTTCCTTATTCATTGTTCAACTTTCACATGAATATGAAATTATTGAAGATACTATGGCTTGGGTCAGGCACAAGTTAGTTCTCAAACTGACATCTTTTCTTTTGAACACTTTAAATAGGTCTTGTGCAGCAGATGTGCCTAACGCTTCCATGACTGTTAATGGTTGAGCCAAACAAAATGAAGACTTTGACAACTTCAATCTTTTCTTCATTTATATGATGGATATTATTTATTGGCCCGGTGGTGAGGATTTCTGTTTTCTTTATACTGAGGTGCAACCCATACCAAAGGCTATGGTATTTGTTCTTCATTAATATGTATATCAAGCTCCTTTTCATTTTCAGCAAGCAAGGTTGTATCATCTGCTTATTGCAGGTGGTTAGTGAGTTTTCCTCCAATCCCATGCCACATTTTTTCATATAATCCAGCTTCTCGAATAATTTGCCCAGCATACAGATTGAATAAGTATGGTGAAAGAATACAACCCTAGTGACACCTTTCCTAATTTTAAACCATTCATGTTCCTTTGTTCTGTTCAAACCACTGCCTCTTGGTCTGTGCACAGTTTAAGCTGAAGTTGAAGAAAATTGAAAGAAGCCCATGAGAGGCAAAATATGCCCTTGACTGTATCCCACCTGAATTTAGAGATCACCTCAAGAACAAATTTGATGCACTACACTAATGATCAACTATCAGAAGAGTCGTGGGATGACATCAAGAATATAATTCATGAAGAAAGCAAAAGATCATTAGGAAGACAAGAAAGAAGTAAAAGACCAAAGTGAATTCAGAAGAGAGTCTGAAACTTGCTCTCCAGCATAGAGATACTAAATCAAATGGAAGAAATAGGAGGTAAAAGAGCTGATTAGGAAATTTTAGAAGACAGTGCATGAAGACAAAGTCAAATATTATAATGAAATGTGAAAAGATCTGGAGTTGGAAAATCAAAAGTAGGAACACCGTCAGCATTTCTCAAGCTGAGGGAACTGAAGAAAAAAAATTCAAGTCTCGACTTTCAATATTGAAGGTTTATATGGGCAAAATACCAGAAGGATGTTTACCTGTGCTTTATTGACTACGCAAAGGCTTTCGATTGTGTGGATCATGACAAGCTATGGACAACATTGAGAAGTATAAGTATTCCATAACACTTAATTGTACTTCTGAGAAATCTGTACCTGGACCAAGAAGCAGTTGTTCGAACAGA